GGGAAAGAGAAAAAGAGAACCGGGATCTCGGCTTGGAGGTGGATCCACGAGTACACGGGGAGTTTCTTCGATGGAAAGCGAGCCCGTGCGTCGATAAGAGCGATCCCTTCCTCAGCAGAATCTTTCGAGAGGACATTGATCTGTGCCTCGACTTTCCCAACGCGGAACTAGGAACCCGAGTCAGACAGGCCGTATTGGATGGCATTATTTTCGTGGAGGCCGTCAGCGACAAGACCAAGCTCAGCTTTCCCAAGTGAGTGCCAGACCAAAGATATTTTCCTCGTGTGTAAGGCAGACACATGGACGCGCATGACTCGTGAAGAGAGACATCCAATAGGCTTTATTGATCCTGAGGTTCAAAATGTCAAGCAGTATAATTATTTAAAAAAAAAAAAATCCTTAAAAATGCTCGAACTCTGGCTATTTAAATAACGTTTATATACATTTTTTATTTTATTTCAAGAATTTTAAAACAGAGCTCATGTTATTTTGAAATACTCAAATAAATTATACAGCTAATTCAACTAAGAATCAAGTATCTGAAATTCTACTCAATAATACGCACTAAATAAATAAATAAATTAAAAAAACATATAATGAAACGTCTACCTAAAGTTAGATTAGATTTAAAATTTCTTGATTACTATGTGTTCGTTCATAATAGTTCTTTTGAATTTTATTCTATTAAATAATTACTCATAATGTCGAAGCTTATTATTTAGTCATTAATTTTAATACAGCCCAAAGGGATAAAAAATTTTACTCGTGCCTCTTTTAACTTTTTTTTCTGCCTTGTTAAAACAAGAATTGGTAAAATATTGTTATGAATCTAAGCTATTATTTACAAAAAATATCGTTCAATCGTTATTGCAGTAAATAAATTAATAATGTAAATAATAATAAATTACGTTAAATAGATTCGAAGTAAAAAGAAAAAAATACTTTTTAATGATGCTATCGTGCACACGTTAATTAACATTTTTTTTATTTTAGAAAATGCGCCTTGTTAGAAGCGCCGAGACAATGTCATTATCGAATGCGAATGGGAGATCAAGAAAATCAGTGGCATTGTATTTCACAAATATGTCGAAATAGAGTAGGTTTCAATTAAACAAACATTAAAATAATTTTATTTATTTATTAACGTTGATTTTTTATTACAAATAGATTATAGCAGTGTGCGATTTTTTGAATTATCTCCGTTACATAGAACGTGGCCTTGTCAAAAGTTCTGGTAAGTCATTTAAAAGACTGATAATACTTATATTAAGAAATGCATAAATTATGTTGTCTAGCATTGGTCAAATCAATTGCTCTTCACCGATATATTATTGTCACTTTCATTTTTATCTGTAATCTTAAATTTGATCGGTTAAACTTTGCAATATTAATGATCTGATGCATTGGACAGTTTTCTTAATTTTATATATAATGTACATATGAGCAATATTTAATCGCATTACGATTATAATTACAGTGCACGATGTTTATTGGGAAATCACGCGACTCCGAAAGGAAATGGTTCTCGCTCGCTTGGGTCTTGCGCTCTCTGTTTAACCACATCTGTGCTTCTTTATCTCGCATGCCTTTCGTCCTTCAGTCCCAACTAATACATCGTATCGTGTCATGGCCGAGGAACAAATCAACAACTCCAAAGGTCTCTAGATCTAAAAATGTAGGTCGAGTCGTTCAACTTCGAGAATTTCCATAATGAACTCCAAGCACAATATCATAAAGTCTCAAAATGCCAACGAATTATTCACTATTCCGCAGAGATTGTGAAGAATTACTTGTATTAAAAAATAAATGAATGTTTCAATGCTCGTTAAAACGTAAATATATATGAAGTAGAAGGTATGAGTAGTTGATTTTAGAAACCTTTTCTCAATTTTTCACATTTTGCTCAAGAGTATTTGTAAAAACTGAGGCAAATCTTTGATCGCAAATACATACATTATATTTATTAGACAATACGTAGGTTGAAAATATATGTAAATTAAGAATTAAATTAAACTTAGTTTCATTTTTCATTTCAGGATTAATAAAATTAAACAAGAAAAGAAGTTATCCATATAATGACAAAAAAATTTATTTTAAAACATTTTACAACTGTTTTAGAAATGTAAAATGTAATATAATGACTGATTTTCTAAGTGAATTTTAATCATTCAATTTTATGTATAACAGACGATCAAGGTGTAAACTAGATCTTCCATTGATACATTGAGAGCACTTTGAGATTTTTTATATACAATTTTCAAGTACAATCAATGATGTATTGTGGTTACATTCTTCCCATCTTTAAATTTTTTTCCCTTTTTTTTTTACTTACATTTAATATATATATATATATATATATATATATATATATATATATATATGTATACAAAAATAACAAATTTTATTATTTAACTTTAAAGAATTACTCAAAATAATATGGATTAATTTAAGGGAGTTAATGGCAAAGTGCTAAGCATGCAATGTTTTCATGTACTATAAGGCTGTGAAAGATGCGTTAATGTAAGTGAAATTACGAATGGAATGAGCGATCTGAGCTGTTTTTTTTTTTTTTTTTTTTTTTTGTATAATGTATTCTAAGAGAATAATGCATGTATATATAACTATATTATTAAATATATTTATGTATAAGTATATGTAGTGTTAAAATTTTAACTAATGATCTATTGGAAAAAATTTTTATATAAAATTATGTAATACAAAATTCGAAGTGAGTTGAACATCCATTCGTTTCGAATATTCTCCATTTTTAGTTGAATATACATATATATACATTTTTTATGCCTAATAAAATTAAAAGAAAAATTAAATATTATTTGTAAGCATTAAGTATGAATTTTAAACTAGATTTTAAATAAACAAGAGAATTTAGATATTAAACAATTTCTTATTATACAGTTTTTTATATATAACCTTTGGATGTATTTTAATGAAACTAATATGCACAAAATTTTCAATTCACCAGAATTTATGATAACATCTATTAAATACTAATTCGTGTAGAATATTATACAATGTTAAATAGCTTTGTTATTGAGAGTATCAAAAATGTTTCGATAATCATTGTTGACTCATTATTACTTGTATAACGTAAATGGACCACTTTCATATACTTCAGTATAATGATAAATTTAGAAAAATTGAACTTCAATTTATTTAGTGCAATTTAGGAAAATTTAAGAATAAAATTTTAATGCAATAAATATCAAAATATTTAAGAAGCAAAATGAATATTAATATACAAATAATATTTATAAATATTGTGGAGTTTAGAATAATAGAATTATATAAATAAGTCTCTGATATTTCGATATCAATAATTAAAATCTGAATTTTTAACTAATTTTTATAATGTCATTCTATGACAATAAACATATAACAAATTGGATTATCAAATATTTTTAATTGGTACGAGTCGTGCTTATTAATATTACCGAATAAATTTTTCTCTCTTCATAAGTAATTTATAAAAATATCATTTATTTAAAAATATAAAAAAGTTTTGTGCAAAAAAAAATATTGTACATATTTTCAAGTATATAAATAATAATGACGAAATTGATTCAAATTAATAAATTTTTTATTGTTAATATAAGAAGCCGAAAATAATGAATTTTTTAATAAGCTATGGTTTTTGGTACAAATCTATTGTTGAATTACCATGATAAAAAGCAATTAAAGTATTATAAATCTAAGGAATTACATAAAATTGTGCGTACATTTAATGAAAATGGCTCAAATTTTTATCATAAATAGCTTTAAATTTATAAAAATTAAATCCCACACAATTTGCAAATTTGCATTTAAGAAATATTATATTTATTAAAGTATTGTTTAGCATATACGATGTATTAAATGGATAACTCGGATAATAATTATTTTTGATAATTGATGTAATTAATCCATATAATTATGCTTTATCACTTTATCTTATTTAATTATTAAGTTTTAATGTTTGATGCTCTCTTAGAGCCGTTAAGTCTCTTGGTACAGAAGCCCTACCGCAATAATTTTCGAATTCGAGAGCTCGGTTGACCAGACGAGTAACTAAAACATGAAAATAAAATAAAAGTAAATGTAAATATAAAAATGATTATTAGAAACTCGTTGATACAATTATATTTACATATTAAAATACAATAAGTTTGATGTATTTTATGGTGCATACGCTCTTATAAGGATAGACTTTTTGGCAATTATATATATAATATTGAGAAGAAAAAAAAATTGAAAATTGTAAAATAATGCTATTCACATTATTATTAGTTTGATAATTATAATATATTCCAATAATAAAGATTTGATCGGTTCAGTTAATGGCCGATTTATTAAAAATACTTTGGTTTTGTTTATTGTGTATCGGCTTTGTATTGTTAAATCTATTATTGAAACAATTCACTTTCAATAACAATTGATTTGTTTTGAAAATAGAAATAATATTTGTTTATTTTATTTAAAATATTTTTTTAACAATCTCAAATTTACATTTAAAATTAATTATTTATTTAATAGTACCTGTCAATATTAATCGTAGTGTTAAAAAAATAGATTTACATTCTAGCGAAAATTTTTATTCTAATTTTTTTAAATGTAATTCTGAGAATAAAGTTTTTCTATTTTTATCGCCACCTAAATCAATTCTTATATAATTAAGTAAGTTACTTAAAGTAATATGACAAAAGTATTATAATATAAATAAATTATATGTATATAAGTAAATTATATATTAATATTATTATATTGTTCCTTATATATGCATAGCAATATATTGAATATGTTGTAAATAACTTTGTTTCAATGCAAATGCTATTGCAAAATGACTATACATAATTTTTTTTCATCTTAAATTTAAATAAATAATGATTATGGTAACGAATTTTTTGTATGCTTCGACTGATACGTAACAACTTGATTTTCAATTGAAAATTACATTGAATGATTTTACAAATGAAAAATTTTCAATAATTGAAATAGGGGAAATTATTCACGGTATTACCATTCATATTCATATTCATATTCTTCATATTCAACTTCATATTCTTCATTTTTCATTTGTTAAAAATAAAACTTTGTGGACAATAAAATCATAAAACTATCTTTGTATGATGTTAAATAGTCTTGATATAATATATAAATATATCAATATAGTTTATTTATACAAATCATATATACGTATCTAATGACTCGTTAAAAAAATGTATAATTATATTCTCTTCAAAACTCGAGTAAACTAAATTAATAATATTAATTAATTACGATTGAAATAAGGTATTGCATTGAACAAAATTTAAAATATGAGCATAGGCATTAGTGGTAGTAATTCCCTTTATATATATTCTATAATCTTAATAATAAAAATTAAGTCAAAGTTAAAGCAAAGACAAATGTAGTAATAATAATAATCATATCCCCTCGCAGCTTTAATTCTTGTAGACTTTTTGCTTTTTTCGATTACGTCTCGATATTCTGACATCTAGAAATTCAGCGTTACAACACTCTCTCGCAGCCTCTTGATCTTAATAGAAATTTCACCTCGCATTATGATTCAATCGATAAAAGTTCCAAAATATTTCGATGCCACGCGAAGACGCGTACTTTCATCTGTCCTGCACTTCGTAGTTTTCAAGCCCAACGTTATAATAAACAGTTTAGCTGACAAAATTAAAAACAAAAGAAAGAAAAAAAGAACACTAATTATATGATGAATTCTATTATATGATTTTTATTAATTTTCGAATAAAATAATTATTTAAAGAAAGAAAAGAGACAGAAAGAAGAAAGTAATATAATAAATAAAATAACTAGTGTTAAACAAATGAATAAATGATAATTATAGGAGAAAGAAGAGTAGGGCAAAATATATGAAAATATTATCATTAAGCGATAATTTATAAAATTCATAATAATACATGAACAATAAATAGATCGTTTCATTATATTCGACGTGAGTAGATGATATGAGTAAGCGCTAAAATAGAATCATACAGGAGTAGTTTAGAATAATTATCTTTACAATTGTTAATGCCATTTTTATCGAATGCAAAAGTTGTTAATAAATAAAAATAAACAACCCTTTATCAATCAAATTTTGCATTGTAGTTGCTTGTCGAGCCCCGTTAAAGTGTTTTCAAGTGTATTATTGTTCAAAATTTACTGTCAGTGTCATTTAATTTATGCGTTCGTAATGTTTGCGACGGCTGAGTGCTTAGTGAGGTTAAATGTATTTGTTTTCATGAAAAAATAATTCTTTTATTTTCAAAAATCTAAGTAATCGAGTACCGTCGGTCTATGCACCGTTCCATCATAAACTTCATGAAAAAATAAGATAAACAGTATTAACAATAATCAATAACATTGGCAAAAAGTAATTAACATAAACTGTTTCGATAATATTTCGAAATATTAAATTATGTTGATTTTCGGGGTTACGGCGAGGCGACAATTGCCTTTTATAAAACATTATCACCAATTTCGATATCTGTCTAGTCAAGTAAAAGCTCAAACTGAATTGTTATTTGATTTTAAAATGAAATTACCGGCACCCGTTGAAAAGAAGCCAAAACGTGACGCTTTTGTTAAGAATCTCTTTGTTGGGATTTTTGATCATGAATTTCTTACGTACCCGGAACCACAGCATCCAGAGAGGTATAAATCATTGTTAATAGAAAAATGTAAATTATATATCAATTTCTTTGAAATGTGAACTCTTGTAAAAAAAAAAAAAAAAAAAAAAAAAATTAAAAAAAAAATAGCAATTTATGGAAACATTATCAATATCGTTTATATTGTAGGTATAATGAATTTCAAAAATGGATAGAACCCATTCAGAACTATATTGCGACTGTGAATCCTAAGGAGTTTGAAGACAAGCTTAATATACCACCTCATGTCATACAAAGATTTCGAGAACTTGATTTGTTTGGTCTAAGAATTCACGAAGACTATAAGGGCTGGAATTTACTAAATGCCGAATTCATGCAAATTCTGGAAATTGTAGGAACGGTGCCTAGCCTTGGTTTCTTCTTCTTGAAACACAGTGTACCACCTATAAATATTTTTAACAATTATGCTACGGTTGAACAAAAATTGAGATATCTACCAAAAATAGCCAAAGGCGAAGCGTTTGCAACAGTTGCTATTACAGAGAATGAAAGTGGTCCTGCGGTAAATAACTTAAATACCATCGCTATCTTATCCAAAGATGAGGGGTACTGGATATTAGATGGTGAAAAAACTTTTGTATCAAATATACATCAGTCCGATATTTTCTTAGTATTTGGTCATGCTATACAAGGTGGTACTGTAGAGAAACGACCAGAGACTATGGCCACCTTCATTGTTGATAAAAATACCGAAGGTGTACATATAATCGAAGAAAATATTGCCATGGCTGGGTTAAAAGGCTTTAGTACTGGTAGACTTATTTTAAAAAATGTAAAGGTGCCAAAGAATAATATGATTGGAAATGTAGGAGACGGCGCAAAGTGTCTTGTCGATCACTTTAGTAATAGTCGACATTATAATGCGTGCCTAACTATTCCAATACTCAAAAACTTTTTAAATACATTGACACAAGATATTATAAACAGAAAGCATTTTGACAAAATGTTGTATGAAACAGAGGCTGCCCAACACATATTTTCTAATATTACCAGTACTATTTATTGTATAGAAAGTGTATTATATTTAACAACATCGACAATGGATATTTATGATGATCAAGATCTAAAGTTAGAAACAGCTTTGGTAGAGCAATTTTGTTTACAAGAATGCATGCAAAGGTTGCAAGAGTGTATATGGCTTGTTGGTCCACGATTTTGTATTATGACAGAGCCGTATGAAAAAATGTTTAGAGATGCACTTACAATCATTAATTATGACACATCGCTACTGGACACAAAAATTTATTCGTCTCTAATGGCTTTACAACATGTTGGAATTAAATTTGGTGACGATATAAAAAAAGAAAGGAATATTTTAATGTTTCCCAAATATATGTTTGAAAACATATTTTTTAAACGTAATTCTATGAACTTCCCATTGAATGAGTATCTTCACCCATCGTTGCAAGAATGTGCTAGTTTCTGCAATAGGAGCTTGTTCAAATTACAAGAGGTCACAAAGAATTTTCTAATACACGAGGGTACTAATGTTACGCAACGAGAAATACAGCTTCAAAGACTCAGTGATATGGCAGCCCTCATTTACACTTACATTGCGGTTTTGGGTAGAGCATCTAGGTCTTATTGCATTGGTAACAGAAATTCTGAAAACGAAATAAAAATATGTATAATACTGGCATATAGACTGCAAAAGAAAGTCGATGAACTTGCTGATGAAATTAATGATTCGGAATTTGGTAATGGTGATCATTTAGGTAATCAGATTTCAAAAGTAAATTTTGATAAAAAAAATTACATCGTCGCACATCCATTACAAAGGAATTACTAATCTATAAAAAATCAATACATTAGAATAATAGTTTTTAAGTTTTATATTAGATTGATCTACAAAGAATTAATAATACATTTGCAATTGATTTCCTAAAATTATCTGTATAAAGAATAAAATTATCTTTGTTATCATTGTTGGTTTTATATCTTTAATTTATGTATAAATTATATATTATTTTTCTTTTTTGTATTTTCATTAATAATAAATGGAAAAAAATATATTATTTTGTTTAATGGAAGATTTCTCTATGTACTTTCAAAATAATTACAAGAAAATAAAAGTGGGATGAATAGGAGTAACTGCTTTGAGTATTAACTCATTGAGCAAAAATAATAGATTCTATACAATAATAAATCGATCTCATTTCGTATTATCATTATTTAAAAGAAAACTTGTACTATTATTTCTTCTTTTATTTCTGAAGAATTGTTTAATGACATTTTATGAACGACAGTATGTACAATTAGCTCACTTGGTTGTCGCTAACATTTATTACATTTTATTACAGCGATTCGAGAGTCTTACTCAATGAAAAATGCAATTAACAATATTTTGCTTTATATCCATTCATAAAAAATTTACTATTTAAATTTTTAACTATTCTTACTGGACAATAATTGCATAATCCTATTTATGTATTCATAGTTTTATACTTTCACATGAACTTCAAAATATTTGCAAATTAAAAATCTCACTGTTCATAAGGTATTTGAAATTACATTGCCTACGTATTTTTACCATAAGCTATATTATTAAGATAAAATATTTTCCTAAATTCTCTTTGAATTCTTATTGGATATTTTCTAATTATGTATGAAAGACACTCTGTAGTCATATAAAATCATATTTTTTTTTTGCAGAATCCATGTTTCATTGTATTTACAATACAATATCGCGTTTGAAAATAAACAATTTTAATTGAATATTAACAGTAATATAAAAATGATATTAATTATAAGAATGTCTTGCAAAAAAAGAAATTGCATCCTATGGATTATTCGTTACAAGATTATTATTACAAAAAGTTTCCAAATTTTTTGGAAACAAAACAAATAATGATTTGTTAAAAATTTGCAGATAACTTTTTATGATAGTCCATAATATTTGTAGCTCCCTTAAGAAATTTGTAAATGCTCTTGTGTGCAGTACAATGGACGGTACTCGTTTTTATTGTTGTTGTTGTTGTTGTTGTTGTTGTTGTTGTTGTTTTTGTTTTTATTTGTTTGTTTGTTTTTTCTATAAAAAGATAACGCGTTGTTAAGTTTTAGCCGTCTCTCGTTCGAAAATTAATCTGCAGCGCTCTGGAAGTATTTTCAAAATTGCAATATCTTAAGCTACAGCCTCTCCGCTTGCACGACGACGTGCTCCTCTCTATAAGAGTCCGATGACGACCAACAACTTCTTATGCAAGTAAATATTAGGATGGTGCCGAATTCCAATTGAAAATGCCGGTCGCTACGAGAATTGAGTTTCAACTTTGGTATGAGAGTTGGCAAGATTTGTAATTCGAATGTCATTTCATCTCCGCAATGTCTACACCTTCCAATGCAGCCACCCATTGGATACAGAACGAGGGGTGCGGAGTTATCTCTTGCGTACCTTAAACATAATCGTTAAATTATCATTAAATTTAATAATACCGTGTGAAAAGATACTTCATTAAAAATGTTAATATTTTGAAAATAATAATATGATGTGACAATTGTTATGATTAAATTTAAATGATGATAAATGTTATGATAAAAATAAAAAACGCGTTTTAATGTTCTACCTTAATATCTGTCCAGGATTTTTCTGTATTCGACTAATAAAATTATGGAACATTTCGTCGCCGTGCTTTGGAATGCCTTTCTCGTACTTCTCAATGCCAGTGTCGTACCCCTTGCTGTCACCCGACCCCTCGCCAGGCTGACTGGGCACTACGTCCAAGTGCGATTGCTGGTACTCGAGAAACAGATTACGCACGTGCTGAGGCACGTCGTTCCCCGTGCATTCCTCCTCCACGTAGATGAATATCTCGGAGAAGGAAAGGGAGCTCCTGCCCTTGAGCTCGGTATGTTGAGCCGGTGGCGGGGTCACTTCTTGCAATAGATTTATTAGGTCGCAGTGAGGTTGCGTGGGCGTGTCGATGCAAACCACCTCGCTTTCTTCGCCCTCGATTTCTGCCGATGCATGCGGGGAGTCCAACCGACCAACTGCTCCGACGCCCACTGGCGAGTCCACACTCGTTGGGCTGGAGTTTTAAGTTTCATTAGGTTTCATAATGTTGTGCAAATTTTTAATTACGTTAAATTGAGCTGAGGCGAATTTTTTGGAAGTTTCTCGCGTTACACTATCGTTCTTGCACATAAATTGCAAAAATGTTGACAATATTCGAAGAAATATTACATTTATATTAAAATATGTTTTAATGACGACTTTTCAATTTTTCATTGTGTCAAAATGTGAATCCACGGAACAATGTCATTGAAAGGCAATGTAATGCTTATGCAAGTCTACCAGCCGAGGATATGAGAATACAATAATGCAACTCTTTAGAAGTTGTACTATTTATCGATAACAATTTACCAAGATGATTAATTCGAAATGACGAAGATTAATACAGTTATAATTAATGACCTGTTTGCATTAGGATCATCGACTTGTAATTCTGAAAATTCAGTTTTCAGTTCTTCTTCATAATTAGTATTTTTTACGGACAAACTGAATTGATTAGGCTCGTTTAAAAGTAAGTTATTGCCATTCCTTTCTGAAACGTTGTCGTTCCAATTGTCACCCCAATCATCGGCATCGTCCACCCAGTTGGTTGCACTGGTTTCTACTGTCGTGCAAGAGCTCGATAATAAAGCTATATTACTTGCTTGCTCTATTGATTGAACGCGTAGGCACGTCCAACTTTCGTTTTGATTCCAACAATTAGGATTCGTGCATACAAAAATGTACAAGGTCCTATGATATTTAGAATTATCCAAGGGAGCATAAATTTGTAAGGCCAAGAGTTGATGTAGTCCACATAATCTACATTGGGGTGCAGCTAATGTCATTTGCTCATTGTGCCAATCCTAAAACACGAATAATAACAATAAAATATATATTTCAGATGGAATTATTTGTTAAAAGTATTTGTTATTTGAATTAAGGCATATTATAATTTATTTTTACTAAGACATATTACTAAAAGCTTAAAAATTAATCACTTTTCATCTAATGTACATAATTTTTTTCATTTTTTTTTCAACTTTATACGAATTGGAATATGTGTGTGTATATATATATATATATATATATATATATATATATATACACACACATATATATTTGCTCATGTATATAACTGAATAAGGTTCTATAATACGCAATACATACAAACGCATATTGTATTTGGTTTCCTTTCATAATTTAAAAACAATGCTTACAAACTGAAGTATACAAATCGTAATTCAATATTCGCAATTCATTATTAATTACTTTATTTAATAATTCATGATTTTTTTAAAATAAATTCCAAACTGTCTTGTCAATGTTCACGAACGAGGTACTTAAACTACATGTTTGTAAGATTATTGAATATTATTGTTTAATAACATTACAGAATGGATCATCGAAACGTTTATCTTCTCATGTTATTGGACCAAATTTTGTATTTTGTTATTGCTTTAACGCAGATAAATACAATGCAAAAGTTACCGGCTTGCCACCAATTTTGTTCGTAGTGAAATTAATAAGACTGCGATGTTTCTCTGTAACATGTTCATCCTCGTACCCTAGATAAACTTTTGCACCAACATCCAAAGCCATTTAAATTTCTATTTCAATATGTACAGCTTTAAGAAATAGTCTTTCAAAGATTGCAGTCTCCTCTATTAAATAAAACTCCACTGTTTAAAAAAAAAAACGATTGCTTTGACGATTAGCTGTCTGTTTTGCGAACTTTTACAATGAAGCAACTTCTTTCCCGTACAACACTCGAGAAATTACAACTGTATGGGTAATCCTATTGCAGCTGATAATCTGTGCAATCAACATGCGTGGTGTCGCAGTTTCGTTGTAGCTTTGTCAGTTTGAAAAAGCCCAGCAACATATCATTGATAACGCGTGCGCCTTTTTGCGGCTGCGAGCTTATTGATTTTTCTCTGTTCTAACGTCAATGAGGAGCGCAAGCGGTGCCTTGGAAATTATGTCACTTCTTTTGGACAAGTTATACTGACCAGCGGATTTCACCTACATTGCTACCCTCAATTTTTCCAACTCAAAGCAAAATCGCTGACTCTTTAAGGGCTTTCGAAATAAGATTGCGCGATTCACCCAACAATTTGGATGCAACGTGTAATTTTAAGAGGTTAAGTGCAACCTCGGCCGTTTGTTATAAATGCAATTTCATACGGGACTTTAACGATTTCTTACGATTCTATATACTGGTTTGATATTATTTTAAAAACTGTTATCCATATTGATTATTACTTATTTATTTTTAAAGTGCTTTCGATATACGCACAAATATTTACTGTTTCATCTCATAACCAACCATCTTTTGAGACTGTCGTGCACACATTGATAAATAACCACGTGAGTTTGATGTACGGTAATACGATCCAATCCCCAAATTAATACACAAACTCTTTTAAAAATACATAAATACTTGTCCGAAGTCAACCAATATTAACTTTTCTAATATTTCGCTTCATCATTGAAGATTTACTTTTTTTTTTTTGCATCTATTTGTAATAGTGCGTGTATGCACGCATTTGACATTGATTTGACGTGCATTTTATACAAATTTTAAAGCCCATCTCTAGAGAAGGAACATTGAGCAAATTTTTACAATTGTCTAATTGTAATTTTTTTTTTTTGTTTTTTGTTTTTTTTTTTTTTTTTTTTTTTTTTTTTTTTTTTTTTTTTTTTTTTTTTTTTTTTTTTTTTTTTTTATTAAAGGAGTATGATACTTATCTTTTTGATTATATAAAAGATTAATAAGCTTGCGCGTTTGTTAATTATTAAGTAACGATATATTTTGAAGAAATAAGTTAAAAATTAAATCTATTTTATAAGCTTTTAGATACAAATACAGCGAATAAATATAAATAACTGGAAATATTACGCAATTAAAATATAAATTAAGAGAATGAAATACATAAATATTGTTTTTTTTTTTACATAAAATTAATTTCTTCAATACATAAATTATTCGATGCATAAATTGCTAATAAGCATACATTTCAATATTTATTTATAATACTGTTCATCGTTCACAAAGTATTGACAATCACGTGATCATTGACTAATGAATTTATTTATTTATTTATTTATTTATTTTTAAATGACCCATTATTGAAATCGTAATCAATATACATTTTTAATATATGCACAATTTAGATAATTTCATAGATACATGGAATTACACATTGATTTAAGACATAAATTGATCTGTTTGTGTAACAATATAATAAATAAATATATAACACTTCCAAATTTATATAAATTCTAATAATTCCAAATAAAACTAAATAGAATATATAACTTTTAATAATATACATTTATCAATACTAAATAACGTTTATATGAAATTTATTAACAATAAATATTTTTTTTATTGTACTGTTTCAGATTATATTCATTTGCACAGTTACTATATTTATTGTAAAATTCTAATATACATTATTTATAATGAACGTAAATTTTCAAGGTATTATAAATCATTTAATTATGCTCTGTCGTAATCACTAAAATATAATTATAAATAGAAATTAAAGAATTTAATTTCTAAATAAATTCTTTTCTTTTTTTCTTCTTTTCTAATTTCTATAATAAAGAAAAATATAAATATTGCTTATATTGTCTATGCTTAAAAAGATGTTCAACTACATTGATTATATTGGTGGCTTGCAAATATTATTAATTTATCATTATAATTTCATAAGAATCTTGTATATTAATTTAATACATCATCTAATGTACGAATAAATTTAACATCGCAATTTTCTTGAAAAAAAAAAAAAAAAAAAAAAAAAAAAAAAAAAACAATTACCCTCTACCATTATACATTTGATTTAATAATGATAGATTATTAATCTAATTTTGCCAATTTATTTATTATGCTTTTTGTTTCAAATACCTATTCAAATTTATGATATAGTTATATGAATTGTTATATGTAAAAAAAAAAAAAAATTGTAACACCTATATTTCATAAGTTACTCAAACATATAAATGTTAAATTTTAATACCAATCTTTTTTACTACAAATCTATTTCAATAAAAAGTGCCAAATCAATATGTAACTTTCTATTGATTTTATAAAAGAAAAAAAAGAGAAAAAAACTCTTAAAAGAATTGTGTATATTCAATGCAATGAAAACAATTTAAAACAATAAATAAGAAATAAAAAATAAAATTATGACAAGAAAAATTAGAAATTAAATATTTTTATATAAAGATTTAGTGCTTACGTATTTTTTAGATTCTCCCATATATAAATTTTTATATGTATTAATCTTATTTATATAGAAATAATAAATAATTAATAAATATTGAGATATGAAATTAAATAGAATTATAGAAAAATGGATTTCATTTACGTTCTACGATTTAATCTTCGTCACGTAATAATTACCATAGTAGTTAGTTATACGTGCGTGAGGTCCTTTAATTTTTAATTTCCCTGTAAATCTATATATCTAATATCAGTTGAGTTGTTAATAATGTGTCATTAATATATATTTTTACTCATTTATATAACTAAGATATTTCTAAAGATGCTTAAAATTTAGTTAATAAATTTACTCAGACTGTTAGATAATTGAATTATAATTTCACGGCTATCCATCAGAATTTTACGAATATTCATTATAATTTAATATAATAAAAATTTTAATTTCAGTAGCCAATAGCTGTACCAACAATCGAATACTATTTAACAAATTACACATATTTTACGCGAATGTATGAATCACCTAGTAAAATAATTGCCAATACCGTCAAAGGAAGCAAATGGCTATGTGACTTTAACTTGCCGTGGAACGTGAGACATGCCGAACTTATTATGTCTCTACCATATAGAACATGCTACTATTACTATAAACAATTGAATCTCTTTAATTGCAGGAGAAGCGATTGTTTGCTCAGAATGTGAATCTCCATACCTCACGATAAGTTTTCTACTGCGTTTTTCGTAAAGCTTGTCTTAGTTTTGTAAGGATAGCTTCTTCAAATCACTGACCGTATTCAAGTGGCTTGTATTTAAAAAATAAATTTATATTTCCTTACTCTTCGATTTTAATTCTTTTCTATTAAAACGTAAAACTTTTCCATTTCGTCCCATATTAAATAACTATTTTATATTATTGTCTCCTTGTTCTTACATCGTTTATACAATGTATTTATATAATTTTTTATGTAATATATTTATGTAACTATGTTGATTCTTTTAAATATTCAATAAAACTAAATTTAACAATAAATACAAAATGTATATTTATTTCACGATTAGGCAATAAATCATCACCACGTGCAAAGCAAAAATTTCGATATTGCGATTGCAAAATATTCTAATATGCTAAATGATATTTTACAACAAAGGCATATAGACGCGCATCTGAGAAACGCAACATGTGAATGAAAGAACAAAGTACTCGAATAATAAAAAGAATTGATTGCTTTTTATGTAATATTGACTTTAAACATTTCTTTCCACTTTTTAATATTATATATTCATTAAAAAAAAAAATGAAGCAGAGAAAATTCTTTGCATTTGTCCTGATAAATGTATCATGAATTCAAGTTTGCTTTATTTTTTTTTATTTTGTCTGCTCTAGAATGCCGTCCAATAAGTACAGCTACATCTACTTATAATCTCTTTGCATCATTAACACCGATCAAATCAATTACACTTGTAAAAACAAAACAGAAAAAAACAATAACCGACATAACATCATCGAGATGAATTTGTTCGTGCATGGGCCATTTGACGCCTTGCCACTTTCTCAAAGCCTCCGTCTAAGCTTGTTTTATTCAGACTTAATTCCCGTTCTCTCTGATTAGCCACGAGAGCCAATAATTATCCCAATAGAGATCTATTCTTCGACAAACACAATGTGCTTTGATTCTAGAGCGCGTTATCGTCTTATTGCTACACGCATATTGTCTTGGACAACGGTAGGCCGGGAATCGCGTAGCGGCCATCGGTACGTTCACCTCTCGAGGACGAGATTCCGTTTTGGGAAGATTGGTGGCCTGAAATGTACTCGATAGGTGTCATGAGTTTGAATTTTTCGCATGATTGTGAACAACCAAACGCGCTCGGTACTTTTTCATTCTCTTATCTGTTTTTGGACGCGTATCTATTTCCGGATAGAGTTCTCGGTAACGCACCTTTTTTTAACCTCCACGTTTTAATTCTTGAGAGGGCTTGATCTCCTTCGCGGGCAAGGTTAGCAACTCTTGCGTCTTTAACACAAGTCGCTATAATTCTCTCTCTCTCTCTCTCTCTCTCTCTCTCTCTCTCTCTCTGTGTGTCTTTGAAACCTTCCTATATCCTTTTTCAATAATTTCATGTGACTAGCGAGGAATTCGTCTACGGAAGCTTCTAACAGCCTTATTTGCATGAATGCTATTGGAATTTTATTTTGTCTATCAAAGATGATAAGCAAATTTTTACGAGAATATTATAATTAGGGTATTATAATGTAATATTAAAGCATAAAAGGTAAAAAAAATACCAAATAGTTAAAAATTGTTATTTTAATCTACTAAGGTAACATATTTAATGAAGCATGATTTACGCTTTTGGATTAGTCTGAAACATAATACAATTTAGCATAAGATATACGACGTTGATCACTCAATGTAATTATCTTTCTTACGTTTTTTACTATTTGATTTAATATATT